CCCATCCAGACCTGGAAAGGCTTTGCACGGGGCGAAGGTTCAGCTGGGCTCAGGACAGGAGCCTGCGGGCACGCGCCCTTTGTGATGTGGAGACCACAGGGCCCTCAGCCCTCCTCTGTCTCTCACAGCTGCAGGGTTTCCCTGTGGTGTCTCCCTACTGACTCCCTGTGACAGAGGTCCCAGGGCAGTGCTGGGATCACAGGAGGGTGGCGCAGCAGGGACCCCTGAAGTGCAGAGCTGGCCAAGGGGCGATGGCCAGTGCTTGGTCAGTGCCGTCCATTCTGCTCCCCTTTCTGTACATAATAACAATGTATATTTGCAAATTCCTCTGATCTCACTGGCCAGCACGACTCCCTGGCCCGTGAGGGACCTGTCAGGCGGATGCCAGCTTTCAGTTTGGTGGGGAGCTCCCTATATGAGGCCAGGAGAGGAGACCAAAGGCAGATGAGTGGTTACCAGTGAAACCAAGCAGGACCCTGGGGGTCTTCCTGGTAATAGAACCCTCTGTGTGCCCCACTTCTTGTTTGTAGGAAAAGCTTTGGCCTCTCTGAGTTTCAAAGATCAAGCTCAAGAAGTTGATAATTAAAGAAATGGGGAATGCAGAAATAAAATGCAATCATGCAAGAAAAGTAATGGTAACTTAAACAATAAGCAAGCCAATCATAAAACAGAGTCACAGGACTCATGGCTCCTCCTGGGAGATACAGAGAGCATTCTGATGCACATTCTTGAGTTGTTTCTACAGAAACCAGGACCCCACCAGATGGAAACAGCAGACCATCAGCAGGTACACCCCAGACTGATGAATGTAGACTTCCAGGCTGGTTGGAGCCAGAAGACTGATGATTTAGATTCCTAAAATGTCACTCTATTGCCTCATCACCCACCAGTCAGAGAATTGTGCACAGATGATCAGGTACCCTGTGAACCCCTCCATCACCCTATCTTTAAAAACCCTTCAAAAGCCATCGAGGAGTGTGAGTCAAGTCTTTTGAGCATAAGCTGCCCCTTCTCCTTGCTTGTGGCCTGCAATAAATGCTGTACTTTCCTTCACCACAATTCAGCATCCGTAGATTGGCTTTGCTGTGTATTGGGCAAGTGAACCTGAGGGACTGGAGAGGGCAGAGAGGGGAGTGACTGCTGATGGGTGTGGGGTTACCCTTTGGGGTGTCAAATAAAATTCATATTTTATGGCAAGACAAGAAAAATTTAAACATAAAAAATTTTCTCTGCCCTTTGGCCTCCACTCTCCCCTCTTCTGTGTGTTAGATATCTGCATTACACATCCACCAGACTCCGTCACGGGCAGAAATGTCTGCTCAGCTGTAAAGAGTGACATTTTTCTAGCATCAACAAGACAACTTCTTAAAAGATAACATTCCTTCTTGATCTTGTAAGGGACCATGAACATGCTTAGATCTTGATTGTGTAAACTGTCAATAATAGGTCATTTAATGTACAGCCTTCTGTCTCAAAAAACTTATATAACTGTGCATCGACTCCTAATGGGTGAAACACTTCTCAGAGCTTTCTTAGATGCTCTTCCTAGGCTATAAGCCTCAAATTTGGCTCAAATAAAAATTTCCATTTCTTTCTTAGATTGACTGGTTAATTTTTCATTCATGAGAATGATGAAAATATTCTGGAATCAGAAAGGAGTGATGGTCGTGCAACTTTGTGATTATACTGAAAACTACTTTTAAATGATGAATTTTATGGGATGTGAATTAAAAAGATTTTTTAAAAAGATCATGGAATCAAAAAATGACACACACATAAGTGGAGTTTTCACTACAGCTTCTTGGCGTGTGTGTGTTGTTTCTTTTATCTTACAGCTTGGCTGCTATCTCAGTAAGAGCAAAGGCAGAAAGCTGGGGGGAAAAGGTGAGGCAACCAACCCGACTAAGCTTCTACTACGTACCAGGTCTGGTGGGAGCTCACTGCATAATTGTCTTTCAACCTCCTGGCAGCTCGTGCTGTTTGCTGTGAGGGATGTGGAGACAAAGGAAATGTCTGTGCTGACGCCTCCCAGCCAGTAGCCACACAGGGGGAATCAAGCCCCAGCATCTCCCACAGCATCAAAATAGAGAGGTACCTCCGATGGGTGGCTCCCTTGGAGCTACTGGTGGTGGTGGTGGGGGGCTGGAAGGGCGCTCCTGGAATGGGAACAGTGTGTACGGACGTGCAGAGGTGTGATCCACCTGGGCTCATTGGGAACAACAGCTGTAGAGGAAACGTAGGGCCGGGGATGCTGGAGACATGGGATCCGGGGTGGAACCTGGGTCATGGGTGGCTTTGCTGCTATTCCATGGCACTTGTACCTGGCTCTGAGGACCTCCGGGAGCCTTTGAACTGAGTTGGACACCCTGTATTTCCCTGAATCTTCGAGTCAGCATTCCTGGAACCATGCAGTCCGTGAGTACAGTGAGTGGATTCCAGGTATTACTGAGAAGACCAGTCGGTGGTAGAGACTGTGATCCACGGTGCCTTAAACGCAAGGACACGTGGAATCTTCCCTAAGAGCGGCCACTTCGATGGCCACGGTCTGGTTTCCATCTCGGAGAAAAGCAGCTGCTACTGATCCCCGGGGTTGGGTGCTGACGGCGCCTGGACCGGGGAAGAAAGGTGGCGGGAATGTCGAGAGTGGAGCTCGGGCAACAGTTCGCTCCCGGGGAACTGAGCTTAGCCAACAGTGGAGTACGTGAACTTGGCTTTCTCCAGCGAGTGTTCAGAGATTTCCTGGAAATGTTTGGCAGCTATAGGGAGAAGTGTTGTATTTAGAAGTAATTACTACCCATCTTCTGCCAAGAAAGGTGTGAGTGGATATGTGGGTAGGTGATTTTAAATAGAATATTTCAGCCTATATGATACCATGTGACCCATCCAAATAATAAAAATAGCCACGATGCCCTGCTTATACGGAAGGCTGCATGAAGTGCTTTACCCAAGTGTGATGATGAATGAACAGGTCCCCTCTGCCAATGACAGAGGCGATGATGTAATAACCGTCATAAACACTTACGAGCAGTGGCCTGCAGCCTGGGCACCTCCTGAGCAGGCTGTCTGGATTTGAATTCTGCCTCTCTCCCTCTCTCTGTGACCTAACTGCCCAGGCCTCAGTTTTCTCAGCTGTAAACTGGGGATAATGTTAATGCCTGCTCACAGGTTGTCGGGAAGGCTAAAGGAGTTAATAGAGGTATATAATGCCTGGCATAGGACCCCACACGCTAAACATTCAGCGGGAAAGAGCGGTTTTACTATCAAGCACGGTGAGAAGTTCACCACATAGATTATCTCCTTGAATTTTCACAGCAGTGCACAGAGATAGAGCCCAGTATTACCACGGCTGTTTTACAGAAACATTCACTGCAGCACAGAGAAATAGCTCACTGAGGCCACAGTCTTGTCACAGAGGCCCAACTGAATGCCAGGTCTCGGATCCCAGAACCTGAGTTCGGATCCATGAAGCCTGACACTGT